GGGAGAGAGAGAGAGAGAGAGAGAGAGAGCGAGAATGAGAGGGAGCGCCGTGGAGAACGGCGCGGTCGGAAGAGAAGGAGGAAGGTTTCACCGGGGCGCGAAAGCGATCGTGTGTTACGTCGTGATGGGTGGAGCGAGGTGAGAGAAACAGAGAGGCGGCTCCCGAGCTTGTAATTATGTTGATACGAATGATCTGCGGCGAGCCGCAAACCGACGTAGAGAAGCAGAGGAGCGAAAACACGAAGAGAGGGACGAGCAGCAGGAGAAGAAGGCGAACGAGCAGTAGGAGGAGGAGGAGGAGAAGGAGGAGGTGGAAGAAGGAGCAAAAGAAGGGGAGGAGATGAAGCCTCTAGCGGTGTTCACCGGCTGCTCTCTCTCTCTCTCTCTCTCTCTCTTCGTCTTGCTTTCTCTTTTTCTCTCTTTCTCGCTCGGTTTCTCTCGCTCCCTTCGATCGTCGGCTCGCTCGCTCAGCTTCGTCCTCGTCCCACCGAGGGGAAAGAACCCTCGTCCGGCCTCGTCGGTGCTCGTTCGTCGAGCCGCGCGGTCCGTCCGGATTCCCTTCGCGTACCGACCATACGCGTTGCTCATCCCCACGCAACGAGTAAACGGGCTTTAGGACCGTGGCGAAACCAGTTTAAGTGGTTAAGCGTAGATGTAATTGATTTCCATTTTACGAGGCTCTCGGGGAAGACGCTCCACCCGCCACTGCCATCACCACCGCGACCGCCGCAGCCACCCCCACTATCGCAACACCGAGCAGCGCGACGCGGCGCGACGCACTCGGCCGAGAGCTGACGCGCCTCTCTTCTCTCCGTCTTCGCGGCCTTCCAGCCGATCGCGTTTCGACGCGTTTTCGCGGCCACCGGCAACCTCGTACCCGCGAAATTCTCGTCGCGCCGCGATCGACCTCGTTCCGACCTCTTGCCACTTTGAATTTGGCTCATCTCGGTACACGATGGCTCCGAACGCTGTTCTAGGATCAATAATTTCATTTGATTTCATTTCATTTGATTTGATTTGATTTCATTTCATTTCATTTCATCTCATTTCATTTCATTTCATTTCATTTCATTCATTTTAGTTTACTTTAATTTACTTTAATTTACCTTAATTTACTTTAACTTATTTTAATTTACTTTAATTTAATTTAACTTACTT